TCAATTAGATTTAAACATACGTCAAAATATTTATCTATATTTGTAAAATAGTGAAAAATAAACATAATTTAAATAGGATTTGGAAAATCTAAACCTAATTAAAACAAGTGAAAAATAATTCTTTTCAATTAGATTTATGTATAAGTACAAATATTTATCTTTAATTGTAAAATAGTAAAAAAAAATCTAAATTAAATAGGATTAGAAAAAACTAATTATATAAAAATATGTGAAATAATTTAATTGAATATTAAATAATATAAGAAATAAATATGACAATAAAGTAGATAAATATTTGATCGGTTTCTCTACAAATATTTTTGTTCTCAATTTTATTTTATCAATTCATGGGGTGACCTAATTTTATCTTCTGTTTTGTTCGTGTTTGATTTGTTTTACGGGGGTTATAAAATATCTAGAGACATAAAATAGTTCAATAACAAATATGGGAATAGATTTATCAATATTTTGAAATATAGATATTTGAGTAGTATAATAAAAATATAAAATAGAAAAGTACATTTAATTTAAGTATGAATAAAAAAAACTAATAATTTGAAAATATGTGATGAAATCTAATAACAAAAACATCAAAATCAATAAATAAATGTTAGGCTTCACATTTAGTGGGTTTACAACAACGTTTTCACTTTTATTTTAACCGGTGACATAATTTTTAATTTTTTTCCACATGTTTATAAGAGATTAAATTATAGAACCCGGATATGTGCGGGTGCTTAATCTAGTAGAACATAAAACATTAACCAACAAAATCTTAAGATATAATATTTTGAATATTTTAGGAAGTGGGATTTGCTTTAAACAGCAAATTATAGTGTTAACATAATTATATCAAATTTAGAGGAATTACTAGCCAAAGATACTTACATGGGATTTTATCAAATCATTAAATATTGAGTCGCTCCTATCACTTTCTTAATCTACCATCAAAATCTCGAGTAACCAAACACTACCCTCATTGTATCCTATCTGCTTGCCATCTATCTGCTTGCCATCTATGGGCAATGCAAGCTTCTTTTCTCTCGTCAGTGTTCAATTACTACTTGTGACTTAATATTTGAAACAACGTTGCATTTTTTTGTTTTGAATCTTGTAGCTGAGAGATGTGAGGTTAATGGAGAATCAGACAAGTGCAGGTGCAGACAAGGAAGCAAATGACCCTGTTTTTAGAGATGATTGATCAATGCACATGGATGTATGTGAAGAGAATCCGATAGATGAGCAGAAGTGAATATGTTTGGAACCAACGGATATAAACAAGAAGACAAAGTCATTGTCATCAATGATGAGGGCAATCCAAGGCATACCAACGAGAAAGATTAAGTAATTGTGATAGATGGCTATTACACAACCGATGAACCCATTAACAACGGTAATACTACTTGCAGGACCTTTGTTCCAAGCTCAGATGCATGTGTCAAATGTACACAAGATGGAACCTGGTTGATCAGTGGGAGCGATGATGGATCCATTACCTCTCAATCTTCTTAGACTTCAATCAGCACATACTCAAGAATTAAACTCGGGTCTTTCATTCCGGATAAACGTAGATAGCCTCTATCGCCGCTGCTCTCCTGTAACTCCCAGAAGGGAACTAAATGCTCATCAACACCATCGCCACATAAGAGCATGGTGTGCACCTGACCTTTTTTAGGCTTAGCTAGATGTCTTGCAACTTCTTCCCTTGTTGGCGTAAGTACACTTCCATCTCTTTCTCTACCACTATAGCTCGGAAACCAAATCACAGAGACTGTGACAGGTCCCAGCATACGTTGGCTTCTAATATTCTCGTACCAAGTATCCTTAAAATACCCAGTATCACTACATATGCATCTTCTGGTGTATATAATGGCACCCCTTCGACCTGACAAAGAAATTTTGTTTATTACTATTACTTAGTAATATCATACAAATAATAAAAAGAAGATTAGTAGTTTAAACAACTGATAAATGAAAAAGTCAAAGTGCAAATACTAACCTGGCTCGAAGGTTAGAACAGGACCGTGTCGTTCCAAGAGGAGACCTTTATTTCTGAGAGTGTCAGTTGCATGTTTCAAGTCGGTAATACCAGATTCGTTTACCAAATTTCTAGGGAGCTTGTTAATAAAATCTTGCACCGACAAAAACTCATCCACAGGTAAACGCCCCCTAGTCAAAGCTACGACAAAGCAGTAACCAGACTCATCAATCAACGATCCTCCAAGACTCGTAAGGCATAGGATGAATGGTATGCTCCAAAGCATCTCTCAATGGTCCATTGGGAAGAGTCCTCCAAAAATCAGAAACAATATATAGTATAGCCACATGAACTAGAATTACCTTCAAAGAGGTACCACGAGTCTGGGCAACGCGTTGCATAATGGACCTAAGATGCAAGCTTTTGGTGAACTTAACATCACAAGCATGCTTATCCTCGTTGCTAACCCCTTGGAGAGTAAGACGGATGAAAAGTGTCCGGCAGACAACAAATCTGGAGCGAAGTACGCGGAAACCACGGCCTGGATAGACAGCTGAAACACTGGAAACGGCAGTGGAAGCTGTGCTGGAAGAGGCGCCTGACAAGGGCCGGCCACAACCTCCGAGTGCTCTAGATTAGACAAACTAAGTATGCCTTCGATGTTGTTGTACTCAGGGAGAGAAACATATATTAGCTATGTTTCTGTGTCGGGATACAGAATCAACCCGAACCATGACCACGGATCTTTTTTCCAGGTAAGGAGATCGATACATTCGGCAACCAACCATCCTGATCAGAAAAACGTGTTGAGATCAAATACATTTTGCTATCAACCATCATGCAATCTACATAACTGTCTCCAAACAGGAGTTTCTCATAAAACAGAAGTGACTAAAATAGCATCATCAACAACAAAAAATAACGATGTTATACTTGTCTGGGAAACTGATCAAATGTACCTTCTGATAAAGGTATCTTTCTCATAAAGAGAACTGACTAAATTGAACTAATTAGTTTAAGAAGAACTCATTTACACAGAAACGAAAATCAGAGTTTACCTGTTAAATTGCTTGAGGAAGACGAATCTACCAGAAAAAGATGATCAATACAGTTCCTGGATCAGAAATACAGACATTAGATCATCAAAGGTAGAAGAAATTTACAAATAGACAAAATTTCGATCGATTTGCATAGATCTCGATCTCTTCTATGTTTTCGTTCGTGAAGGTGCAATCAACTTTATTGAGAAATAAGGCAAGCACCCACTTTTTCATTCTCTTTTTCAGTTTCCAAATAGCAAGTACGTTCCTTATTTATTCTATTTATCTTTCTATATTTTTTAAATTTTATGATACACATCGGGCATGCTCTCTTCTCATATCATCTAGAGGTATGACTTATTTTTGTGAATTCTAGCTCTTGCCTTTGACATGT